AGTAAACCCCAAAAACAAAAAAAAAACCAAAAAAAAAAAAAAAAAAAAGTAATTCTGTGTGCTTGTATATCTTGGAAGTATCTTGAGTGAAAACAAAACAAAGAAAGTCTTGCAGAGGTGCCGTCCTCTGTGCGGCAGCCAAGAGCAAGGACTCCATCACAACTCGTGTCTTCAAAAAAGAGAGCATCCTGTAATAAATGACAGAACTAGCTAAGTCAAACAAAATAGAGGAAAACGAAAAGAGAAAATTCAGCAATGTCCAGCCTATCCGAAAGGGCAACAGTTGATGGCCAAAACACATAAAATCTTAGAACTGAATGTAGGGGAGATTTAAAGTATCTCCAATGATAAGTCTCCAAAGAGGGGCAGTGGGAGGTGTGCTAACGTGAAAAGTCTCCCCTACATTTTTGGCAAGCCAGTCAGCAGGGGAATTGCCCTCTCTATGAATAAATTTCCAGTTAACCTCAAGATATTTTTCAACTATAAGAGCCAGTATTCTTTTAAATATACCAACTAAATCCCAGAGTGGAGAAGTAGTATCAACCAAAATATCATAAAGCATTTTTGAATCCATCTCCACCTCCAACTTACGAAAATTGAAAATTTTGGCCACCACTAAAGCCAAAAAGACTCCCCAACATTCAACAGCCATAAATTAGCTTTATAGAAGAATTTCTTTTTCAAAGTAAAAATCCTACAAACTAGTAGATGAAAAAGAACAACTAGAATAGAATAAATCATTCAGAGAGAAATAATATTATAATGTGATTCTAGTTTTTATAAATTTTACATTCGTGGGACAACCAGATGAAGAATCTTTGTATTATGAAGTTGCGAAGAATAGATATAATAGCATCAGATTTTATTCTTGGATTAAAATCAAAATAAGCTAAACAATATCAACTTATAAACATATAACCTTCATCATATAATCCCCACGAGAACAGAAGAAATCATATCTCATGACACCCAATATTCTCTTATAGATAGAATACCATTAGTCGAAGCGCTAGAGCTATCACAAATACGGTGAAAGAAGAATGTCATTACTAGAATATTTGGAAACGACCAAAAGCGAAATCACCAAATTGATTTAAGCCTTGATTCAAGGTTAGACTCCTTACATAGGGTTGCTCTTCTATAAAACCACCCAACTCGAGAGTTTCGCTTCTCATGGGAATTCAAGAAGCTGCGTCACAGCTTGTAAATCTCTTTGTTTGCTGCAGCTCTCATGGGCTTGAGGAGGTCTATGCTATACAAAGCCAATCACACCTTATATCGATGAAAAAGATTAGCCAACATTTATATGCAAATGAGTTAGCAACGGTAAATATAAGAAAAAAATGAAAATGTAATTATTTCAAAAAGCAATGTTATAATTCAACAAGCACTCATTAAGTAAACTTAATAAGGGCACCTAGTTATTGCAGTTTAAAATGAGTACTCTTATTAAATATAATTTGTTACTTCTAAATCAGTTATATCATGAAGTAGCCGAAATTTAGACTTAATGCCTTTATATTAAATATCAATTCATTAGTTTTATAAATAAAATTATGTATTGGGTTAGCCACTTTTCCTTCATGATAGAAAAACCAAAATCATTGCTGTTGATCTCTGCCTAAGATTAAAATTTTCGCTAAGGGAATCACTTTGATGAAATGTGTGGTGTATGGTGCTTGCATTTGAAGCAACACTTCTGTTTAATAACTTTGAACTCAAAGCCATAAAAATTATTTGAATGGATTTTTTGGGAATTAAAAATGGAGCTACTGATTGTAAGGTCCATGGGCAGTCTTGCACCACAAAGTTGCATCTTAATTGTTATAAATTATTTAAACATCTATAAATGTAATAATGGAAAAGGAGAGTGATATCAGATACGAACTTTGAGGGTGGGTGCATATGCATAGAGGGCATTTCAAGAGGAAGTGAAGGAATAGCATTTGGGCTTCTAATGTTAATATGCTTTCCATTTGGTATACCATTGAGAATCTTTTGATAAGAAAGATAGTTGTGCAAAAAAGGAAAAAAAAGGGAAAAGAAAAGAAAAGAAAAGAAAAGTAGAGGAACAATGTTTTAAAATATTATTTGTAATTTTGAAGTACTATTTTTGCACTGTAAAAGCATGGTGGTGGCAAAAGATTTGGGACGATTCCATAGACATTCGTGGAAGAACCCTTCAGGTGAATAATTTCATATATTATTTAAATCATTTTTATTTATTTTCCCCCATTATGCTAACCTTCTTTTTTCTTTGGCTTGAGAGATTTTGGGTTCTCATTTTTGATGAGATTGAATCTATTTGTATTTGGGGAAGAATGTTTTCTAATGCATTTATGAGACTTTTATAATGAATTAGATCTTTTCTCCTCTCCGTGGATGTTGAAATCCTTTGGCTTTGTGACATAAGTTGTAGTGTCTTTTTTTGTGGTTATTGTTCTTTTAATAGTTCATATTTTTGGCTTTTGATTGGTGCCTTCACATAAAAATTTGGTGTTTTTACAAACGTCTGCCCTTCAGCAAGTATTAATGGTGACTCCTTTTGCCTCCTTTGTGGGAGGAGGAGGTCGGCTATTTGTTTGATACAATCATTTGTAATAGCTCCTATAAATATTGTAAAGAATAAAAAACTGTGGAAATAAATTTTTAGGGAATTTAGATTGTTTGCTCAAGATTTTTGTGCAATCATTTGAAATTCTAAATTTCCAAAATTAACCCCTTATATTAAAATCATTATTTTGAACTTTTAAGATGTCATGTCACAAATTTGTGGACTGACAAGCCTAATTTGGTTTGCTAGGATACGTTTTACTGGGGCCATAAAGTTGATCCCTAATAATTGGGATAAGATTAACTTATGTTTTATTATGATGATGACTGCTTGCCAGTGATATAGTTTGACAGATGGATTCAACGAGTTATCATAGTACTTATTAATTGATAAACTACGATGATAACACCTTTATTTGAATGGCTAGGCTATGCAGTGAATAGTCATAATGACAATGCTCAACCTGTGGACTAAGAATAAGGCCTTCCTTCATACTGAAACATATCTAAATTCAGTTGGGATAAAGCCTCAGATTTTTCACTACAGATTAATAGGAATTTTCTAGTCTCTTCTAATGGCAAGAACAAAAGGGAGCTTATAGATTTTATTTTCAATTTCCAAAGCTTTAATGATGGTTTTACTTCATGTTCAAGCTTAGGCCACCTCAATCTTTCTCTGAGCACTAATTTGCTTACCAAGATGAAACTTCTATGAATCTTTAATGAATCCTAATACCCAAGTATGATATCATATCGACCTTTGTAAATAACCCGTACCAACTTCTGAAGTGTTCATAAGTTATGAATGGAGAAAATTTAGCAGAGATTTTGAAAATCATGAAAATGATTTATAACGAATAGCTTTTATGAAAAGATCTTTAAAAAATTATAATGGGTCTAGATAAGCTGACGATGAAAGAAGAAGGGTGTAAAACTGTCAATATCTGAAAGTGTAAACTGAATTGTGTGTCGTAGAAAGATCAAACTTCACCTATTATGATTTCATGTATCCATGGTTCATTCAATTCTAGTAGAAACCTGTCAGTTTGACAGATTTTTTTTTTTCATATTAACGGATAAAGAAACTTAAAAGCTTGATAAAGGCTAAAAATGATCTGCTGTTGGAAAGTCCGGGGGTCTTGATCTGGTGCTGATTAAGGAAAGAAGGTATTGACTTAGATATCCAGGAAGAAGTCTAATGAAAAAACATGTGTTTTCTATGCTTTTCTGGCTGGAGAAAAGGGATGGTGTTAATCATAATTCTAGTCCAGTGGCAGTTACTTAGCGAATGAGTCAAATCAAGCTTAAGCTAATAACCAAGGAGTCAAAAATAAATTTTCTGGTTGGCAGCCAAATTTTTATCTTTGGAAATGGCATTGAGGGATTGCAAATTTTTTCCTCCACTGCAAGTTGATGTTATAGCACCGCCTTCTGAATACTCTCTAGTTGTTCCTTTTGTCATATTATAGATTTTTTAGCCTGTGCTGTTTAATTGATGTTCTCAGCACCAGAAATTGGCGTAGCTGTCTTGGATGAAAATGAAAAGCCTGTTTTTCGGGTTGAAAAAGCCTTGGGGTGTCTGTGCTCTTATGATCCTAGTCAAAGGTGTCATGAGGACTCGCGACCATTTTTGTATTGGACAATTCGTGACTTTGCATATTCTTATAGAAATAAGCTTGCAACTCCATCATCTGTAAGCTACCAATTATTTGGTATATTTATCAATTTGAAGTACATGAATTTTTTTTCATTAGTTTTTCATGAGTGGGTTTTTTGTAGGTTGCAGAGCATGTAATTGCCATAGCTGAAGAATATAACAATAAGAAACCTCCCATGCCATTGTTGGTTTTTTTTAGTGCAGAGGAAGTAAGAAAGCAAGCTGCAGCCTCTACCCAAAGATTTGAAGAAGGTATTAGATGTTTATTAATTGATATATTAAGGCATTTTGGCTTGTCAAAAGCATGCTGCACTTAATGATTATGGGTTTATTATTTAAGAAAGGAAATTATTAAGCTTTTCAGAATTTAACAAAAGCATTGCTCTTTTCTTTTGAGTTAAGGAATTAACTCCTTTCTTTGGATCTGGCAATACTTTGTGGTTTATGATGATTCCCCAATGTTTCAAAATTTTATCCTTAATTCGGACTTTATGGAAACTTGATTTCTGTATTTTGTGTGGGTTAGTCTAAAGTATTAGTTAAAAAATTTCTGTTTCCATCCTCATATTCAGTTTGTCCATCTCTCCCTTGCAATCTTTTGAAATCTTCATCATGATCATCATCGGATTCACTGAAGTAATAATCACCACATTAGACTGTGCTTGGCAATAAAATAAATTTTGATGTTCCAGCGCACTTCTCATTTAAAAATCTTACTAAACAGTTTAAATGAAAATTTGTCACATGTATGGCTTAGAGCAAATCTAATTTCTGCTACTATTTATCATGTCATCATCATTTAATCTTTCTTTTTCCATTACAAGATTTGTTGTATCACGTCTCTTTCTTTTGTCTTCTCCAACTTCTCATTATCCTCGAGACTTGCTGGAACTTGCAGCTGGTCCATCTAATTGGTTCTTAGCATGCATTCTTGTATTCTAACACTTGATATTCTTTTCACTTGACCCCAGGTTGAATTTTCATCATATAAACTAACTCCTCTTTAACTTTTGATTTATTAACATTTCTGTCTACAGTCAAATAAGGGCTCTTTTCGCTGCCTGGGTCCTTAAAGGTAAGGCTCGCCTGCTACTGGGTATACTATGCATTAGGGCTTCATCTTACTCGGGAAGCTAGGGGAGTGCTTTGCTTTTAACTAACATCACTCTGCTTTAAGCAGAAAATATTCTAATATTCTTTGTCGACCTCTTGCTCTATTAAACGAATTGCAAATTGAGATTGGAAACTGTAAAATTTAAGAGAGATTCATCTTAACGGGCCTATGTTAATACGATGGAAACTTCACTTTTTCTTGATAGATTCCAAATGTTTTGTTCATATGTTTGACATTTTACATTGATTACACTGGGTCATGCAGGAAAACCTTTATCTATCCTTGATGGCATATTTGTCGCGATAAAAGATGATATAGATTGCTATCCTTTCCCATCAAAGAGTAATGAATGCTGCACTTAACCTTGATTTCCTGAGGAAAATATGGGTAATATTTAGCTTCAAGTTCTCAGTTGGATGGCTCTGCTGCAGGTGGAACATCATGGTTGCATAATACAAGGGAGGTGAAAAAGGATGCAGTATGTGTTTCCAGATTGCGTAGTTGTGGTGTCATTATAATAGGAAAGGCAAATATGCATGAGTTGGGTATGGGAACGACAGGGAATAATCCAATCCACGGGTAAGGTGGACTTAGTTACTTTTTTATCTAAGGAAGTGTTATTGAGAAAAGTGTTAAAATGGTCCTCTGACTTTTTATCAGTGGTCATTTTAGTCACATAGCATAGAAATGTGTCAATTTAGTCTCAGATTATTTTAATGAGGGCTTTGGGGACTATTTCAGCCCATGTTAAAAGAGTATGGGGACTAATTTTGCACTTTTATAGACTTTGAGACTAAAATGACCCCATTTAAGTAGTTAGGGGGCTATTTTGGCACTTTACTTTATTATTATTTTGTACTTAATGTAATGTTTTAAAAGCTGCATATTACTTTGTTCTCGTCTTTTTATTGAGCCATTTTTGTGACTTTCATATTCACTGTGATCTTAATTGAACTCTTTTCTTTTATTTTTCTGTTCATTCTACTTTATTTATGAATTTTTCTTTGGAATGACCTTTGCTTTACTTGGATAGACTTTCTTATATGGTGGTGTAGTTGGAGACCATTATATTTGTTACACTAGAATATTGATATTTAATAACTCGGGTTGTTGATTTTGAAAATATTTTAGCCCAATTTGGAAACTTGGAATAAACTAAGGTGGGGATGGATGACCACAATGGAAGGATTGGTTAACTACTAACACATTGCTAGTCTTTCATTTTCAAAACATGAACATACATAATGACATATTGATAGATGTGGAAAATTCATTATCACATATGCTAGCATTTGATATAATAGTTGATGACAATATATAATAATTTAAAATCATTCGGAGTAAGAAGAGTTGGTTAATCTTAATCTTTTCATTCAAGGTAATTACAAGATGCTAAACTTTACATCTATGTGTAACTTTCAATTATATTCTCAGATGATCCACATTGCAATACTGATGTAGATAAACATTGCAACTCATAGAACTTTATTGTCACGACTCTTTGGCACTTTACTTTATTATTATTTTGTACTTAATGTAATGTTTTAAAAGCTGCATATTACTTTGTTCTCGTCTTTTTATTGAGCCATTTTTGTGACTTTCATATTCACTGTGATCTTAATTGAACTCTTTTCTTTTATTTTTCTGTTCATTCTACTTTATTTATGAATTTTTCTTTGGAATGACCTTTGCTTTACTTGGATAGACTTTCTTATATGGTGGTGTAGTTGGAGACCATTATATTTGTTACACTAGAATATTGATATTTAATAACTCGGGTTGTTGATTTTGAAAATATTTTAGCCCAATTTGGAAACTTGGAATAAACTAAGGTGGGGATGGATGACCACAATGGAAGGATTGGTTAACTACTAACACATTGCTAGTCTTTCATTTTCAAAACATGAACATACATAATGACATATTGATAGATGTGGAAAATTCATTATCACATATGCTAGCATTTGATATAATAGTTGATGACAATATATAATAATTTAAAATCATTCGGAGTAAGAAGAGTTGGTTAATCTTAATCTTTTCATTCAAGGTAATTACAAGATGCTAAACTTTACATCTATGTGTAACTTTCAATTATATTCTCAGATGATCCACATTGCAATACTGATGTAGATAAACATTGCAACTCATAGAACTTTTTTGTCACGACTCGGCCCGGTAGTTTTATAATATTAACTATTTTTCCTTTTTTTTGTTGGACGGTAACAATTGCATCTTTTTTTTTTGGTTGATATGTAACCCATAAAGGTATAATTGATTGTTATGGAGTCAAGTTTTCCTCTATTATTAGTGTAAACTATTAGCATGTACGAAGGTGGTACAACCACAGATTTGTGGTGTAAGATTTTCTTATGATGTTCAAATTTTTGATAAATATAAAAAAAATAGTTCCATTTTTTTGAACTCCAAAAATTTGGAAGGCAACTTAAGTGTAGTTGGTACGGGAGTCTGAAACATTGTTGGAATAACAAGGCTCTAGTTGTGGCTAGTGACTGTTTCTTTTTTGGCAATCCTATTTGGTTGAATACTAATGCTTGAAGATTAATTTTTTTTTTCTTTCCTTTTACAAATACGGGGATAGGATTTGGTTAAATGTCATGCTTTTCCATTTTGACTGTTGTTTTTTGTGTAATCTAACTACTCTTCAGAGTGATGCACACCTTGAAAGTTTAATGGGCTAATGATGATGATAGTTATATTAATTGAAGGCAACACCAAATGAACACTTAACATGAATGTGTAAAGATGATTAGGCAAAGACAACCGGTAAGCAAACATTAGTGGTTGGGGTGAAACTGCTGCTGATGATTTATCACTCAATAATTTGAAATTTGAACTGCGAGAGATAAGAGCTCTATTGCATAAGAGTCAAATCATGGTGGAAGAAATGACCAAAAATTCCATTTCTTCATGTATATGTTCTATGGAAAGTTTGTTTTACTCAATTTCTTCAAGCCACATTTGTGCCTCTTGAACAAGTGATTTTATTCTTCTTTCTGCACTTTTAGGTGTTGTTTGCTTATAAAATGTAAAGTTTCGCTTCCTCTAGTCTTTCTTGCCAAATTTGATGCCATCTTAGGTCTTGATATCTTCCAACAATATATTAGTATTGCTGTTATATCATCTATAGTTGCTCCTTAACGTTCTTCTCTCTAATTTTAAGTTAATTTTTACAAGTTTTAGCTATTTTGCAGGACAACTAGAAATCCACACTCACTTGACAGGTACACTGGTGGATCTTCTTCTGGTCCTGCAGCACTAGTCGCCTCTGGTTTATGCTCAGCTGCACTGGGAACCGATGGTGGAGGTTGCCAAAATATAAGCCTTGCTACATTTTTGTTTTGTTGAGGTACTGAGAAGCCATTAATATGTTTTTTGAAGACAGGTTCTGTCAGAATACCGTCTTCACTTTGTGGAATTGTTGGCTTGAAGACAACATATGGGAGGATCGACATGAATGGGTAGTGATGCTTCACTGCTATCTTTCTGTAATCTTCATTCTGTTTTTTTTGTTAGTTGCGCTATTTATGTTGAATGTACTAGTTGGTGAAAGACAAATGTTTTTGTGGAGCTCACAGATGTTTTAGAAGGAAATCTAGGACCCAATTTTTAGTGGGAAGAGATTGTGTGCGGTAGAAGGAAGTCCTGGGCTTACTACTGTAGAAGAAAGAGCTGGATGCTGTAGAAGGAAATCCAGGACATATGTATCGATGCTTTGGGTTTAAATTTGATTGTATACATTAAATGTCATGAACTGGTTTTAGGGCTTCAAGTTTTCAAGAGGAGAACATATGGTAGGTTGGAGATTAAATCATAAATATTATCTTTAGATCACTTGTGAAGTAAAATTTTTCGTAAATCTGAAAACAATGAAATAACAATAAAATCACCAAGCGCCTTATTTTTTCACTCATTTAAGCTTGAATTATTTTAATAAGCATTTAATTTGTAATCAAAATAACCAAGCGGAATAATTACAGTTTAAATTACAATAGAAAGAGAAATAACATGCATGTTGATTATTCTATTGAAATATGAGAAAATCACATGATAAATTAAATATTGAAATAACATTTGTGAACCTTGTATGATGTTCTCACATTAGAATGTTTAATTTAATTTGCAACAAGCTTTAGGAACTATATCCTTATAATTACCTTTTAATATTAATGTTTAATGAACCATATATATCTTAACTTTTTCATTTATATATATTAATACATTTGTTTTCGAAGAATCGTCTAAATATAATTTAACTCACCATGACCGACATGTTTTTTGTTGGCTTAACAGGGCTTAAAATAAGTCCTCTATTGTTGTATGGAGTATGCCACCAACTTATATTTTGTTGATACAACCGCCGTTAGCATAGCGAAGTGTGGGCCTTATTTTACTATTGTCTAAGATGGAAGAAAAATTATCAACGTGCATGAGCATATTATTATTCCGAACTAGTACCATAAAAGGCTGAGATTTTTAACATGTACTTATAAGTGACGCGAGAGCTTACCGCGGTACTGTAGCTGCTACAGTACCGTAGGAATAGTTATTGTGGGAGATGCTCCTAAATAATCCCGTTTTCCTTTCTTATGCTTTATTTTCTGTTATTCTTCATTCCTTTTTAGTCATTTCTTTATATATGTATTGTATTAGGCGGAAGTCAGTTTTTTGTGTGTTTTAGTTAGGACAATCCATTCTTTTCTCTTCAGGAGTTGTATCCAAGTGTTTGGGTGGTGCTCCGGCTATATTTCTCTCCTGAGGTGGTGATTATCTATCCTATCGCTCTTGCATCCCTCTCACTTTGCTGCCTCGCATTACCCCTCGTTGCAGGTCGCCCCGACAACAGTTTTTTTGCTGTTTTTCTACCGTTTCCTCTCTGTCTTGTCCTTTTCTTCACTGTCCCTGCCGATGCTGCCTTCCCTTTGCTGTTCAACAACCCACCACATCCTCTGTCACCGTTCCAGCTCTCCATCCTTGTTGCTATCGCCTCCAGCCCATTGCCAACCTTGCTGCCATCCTCCCAGAAGGCCACACAACCCTCCCCATCGATGCCTTCCCCCTTCCTAGCCTTCCTCGCAGCCTCCCCCACCGGTTGGCCAGTCGGAGGCCAACTTCTGGCTGCATCCTTGTTGCAACTGTCGCTGTTTCCACCCTTCTCCCCTGCTTCCATCAACCCAGATAGCCCTCACGCATCATCCTCCAACTATCTAATTGTTGTCTGGCCCTGGAAAAATCGATGCTGGCTTTTTTTTGCTTGTCAACCACCTTTTCCATTCTCACACCGGATTCCCAACCCTCACCAACCACCACTACCGTCCAAATTCCACCATCGTTGAGTGTCTTTGTCGTGTTTGTTGCTATTTTTTATTTCAATGTTTTTGATCGTAACCTCTATTTACCTTCCAGTCACCTTTTCACCATCAATGTGCAGGCAGAAGCTTCGACGAATGAAGTCAAACCTTCCCAATCTAGGGAGATTGGACTGAACCAACGAGAATGGGGGCTGGTCAGTCCCTTGCCCTATTTTGAGTTGTCACCCAAGGGGAGTGTACTTTCCCTCTCCAATTTATCTATATTTTATTTATCTGATTAGGGCTTTTTAGTTTTTGCTTCTGAGATTTATGTCATCAGCGTCATTTTTCCTTATTAAGAGCTGTATCCGAGGACAAATGGTGCTACGACTGTATCCTGCTCCATGATGGTGATTACCTCCGTATTTTTCTTACCTTTCCCCTCCGTTTGTGTACTACCTTCCCTTCCGAATGCCTCCAATCGTTTGTTGTTCTCTCAATTTTTGTCGTAACCCTTCTGCTTTCCTTCTTTCTTGCAGTAACCCCACTACCAGACTTGTTCTTTGATGTAACCCCTCCAATAACCTTTTTCCATGCCTTAGCACCTCCCCCTCCCCCCTAACTAGCCATCATCCATCTCTGTAACAACCGCCAAGCTGCCAGCCTTCCCTCTTTTTACGATTACCCCGCTGACCATCCACTTGCTCAGCCACCCAACTGATCACTGGTTTGCTGTCCTTCCACCCTATAACCTTCCATAAACTTTCTTCCTCTCAAACCTTAGCACCACGTCACTGACCTTTGACCTAGTTTTGTGCGTGTCATTGTTTACCTGTTTTCAAGTGTCTTGATTGTAACCCCTTTTGAATTTCAGCAGTAATATTTTCGTTTTTATTGCTATTTGGGCTAACTTCGGTATCACTTCACTACCTTGCCGTCATCTTTTCAGATCCCCAACAACCACCACCACCCATTTGATCTAACCTTTGTAGGAGTTAGTGTCATGCTTGTTGTCGTTTTAAATTTCTATGCTAGTTGGTTGTAATTTTCTATTTAATTTCAATACTGATCTTTACTTTTCTCGTTGTTGTTAGTTAACTCCAATATCATAAAGTTTTTAATGTTTGTATTTATGAAAAGCAAAGGAAACATACACAGACTTCCTAATCTATAATGATGGGCCATTGGGCCCACATGTTATCAGTACTATGAGGGGTAAATAATATGATAGTTGATTGGGATCTTTAAGAATGTATAACTCAATTCTTTTCTCAAGCTTGCCCAGTCATCTTCCACATAGTGTTGTTGTTGTTGTAGGGCTGTTGGGAGAAACTACTCTGAAATAATCCCCTAGTTTCACCACGAAATAGGGTCATAAGATTCGAGAAAATAGGAATAATAAATTCAAACACAGAAGCAAAATCAAAATAACTAGAAAAATGGTGAGAATTTTACGTAGAAAAACTCGAGAATGAGAAAAAATCACGGAGTCATACCACCACAAATTTACTATAAAAATCAGACATTTTTATAAAGGACTCACGCCAATTTCCTCTCCACGCACAAGGAAACTTACAGGACTCGCATTCCATAATATTTCTTCATTGATCCGATGGAAACAACACACGCTGAGATCCCATAAATCATCTCCGACTCTTCTCTCCTTCACCAGAAACTTATTGAAGAAGACCTTAGGAAGTCTTACACCCAACACATCATTACGCCGCTCAAAATTGGTTTAAAAACCTAGAAGGTGGATGTCGGCGGGGAAAAGTGGAGGGATGGTTTGTTTGTGGTTTGGGGGAGTTGCCCGTAAGAAGCTATCGGTCACCGGAATAGAAATCCCGTCGCTTGCCTCGGAAAGACGTATAGATTTAAGTTTAAAAAACAAATAGGAAAATCAAACTGACCCCATATTTTCATAGTTTAAATGAAAGAGCGCTTTACCTCAAATCCTGTATCTATCCCGAGGGATAAACACAAGGATTGAGATTGAGGCTCGATCAGATAAACTAAGATATATATGACGTCCGTTTGGTCTGCGAAACCGTTTTATTTGTGGACAAATTCCCCTATTTAATATAAAAAATTAAATAGGGTTCGGAAAAGCTTCCTATAAGGGCAAACCCCTATAGTTAATTACATCTTAAATGACCGAAATCACTTAAGAATACTCTCGATAAAAATCAGGATAAATTATCTTCAAGGACTTCAAAAGGATAGGACTTTTCAACTAAATCGGACAAAGATGTGTGCAAAAGGGAATGATTCAAACTTGGAATATTTATTACAGGATCCAAAGGAACAAGAACTAGGGGATGCCACAAATCCAGAGGAGATCCTCGGTGGCTTCCCAGTCTACCCTATGGTTTGGCTTCAGTTTCGAGGAGGAATGTTCAAGTGTTTTATCCTGCCAACTTTATTCAATTAGGGCTTACATTCGTGTGAAACGATCACACAAATAACCTAGAAGATGTGAGGATTTAGATCATAACGAACAAAACGAGTTAGGGCTTAGATCGTACAGCAGAGCTACACAAATGCCTAACGAAAAAGTTGAGAATTTATGTTGCACTAGGCGAACAACTTCGAAATCCTATGGATTGTTGTTTTAATTCTAGGAAAGGAATGGTTTAGCTGGGGGAGACATGTTCTGCTGTTGAAGATGGTTGTGCTGCCCACCGCACAACTCCAAGCTCTTTGTCGTGACGAGTTTAAGTTTTTTAGTTATGATGTCAAATCAAACGACCCTATGGTTGTAGTCCTCTAAACATCCTATATGAAAATGAGGCATGCTTAAGGCTATGTAATATAAAATGTGCAATACAGGGCAAATAGTAGAAAACACAATAAAAGAAACAGTGTACATGCCATACATGACAGTAGCAAATATAGTCGAAAGAACAATATAACATGCTTTATAGAGCGGTAGCAAATACAGTAAAAGGAACAATATAACATGCTTTACAGAACAATAACAGGTAGAAACATGAATAATATAACATGTTGTACAGAACAGTAACAGGTAGGAACATGAATAGAATAGCATGCTGTACAGGGCAGTGACAGGTATAAACAAGAATAGAATAACATTCTGTAAATGTAAAACGAACCTGTACGCCTGTGGGATCCACTGTTTCTTAAATATAACAAGCTGAAATATATTGCAA